GAATATAGGTGAAAATAAATAGAACAATTATTATACTCGCACAATGATTTCAATTCTAAGAACTTTAAAGATTGAAATTTACTTATTTCTCCATGTATGTTATGATTGGTAAGCCCATTCACCATATCAACATGGACGAATCTAGTCAACGAGGTAAGGATTCATCGGAACCCAATAGCTTTAATGAAGGAGCTACGAGGTCATCTAACCCAGTACTTTTGTTTAGACCTTGTATATGTCTAAATAATCCATTGGAATGGATAAATTTCGAACCCAAAGGGGATTATAAAGTGGGGAGAAGTGAAAGTTGAATTAATCAACCATCTAAGCTATTAAAATTCCCTATCAATTTTGCATAGGTACATGAATTTTCACTTTCATTCAAGCTAATAATATACTATAAAATAAAAATATTGATTTACTACAAGTTCTCTATACAACAAAAAGTCTCCCATCAGAAGTAGAGGAAGATGCTGCAGCTGCGATTCATCTGAAGCCACTACTTTCAACGCGGAACATAAATTTACACATAAGAATCCACTACAATTGCAATAAATAGTAGTTCGGAACCTATAATTTTAAGTTCTTTCAATGCTAAATAACTTACAGACCGAACTCATTCAAGCTTAAATCCTAGATCCGCCTCTGAGTTCAGAAATTCAGAATCCTTCCTACGCTGCGCTAATTCAACCTTCAGCCAGAAATCTTGTTGTACAAGATCAGAAACAGAGCCATTTTTCACATATATGAAAGATAAAACAATTGATCTATCTCGATTTGAAGATAATACATCACTCGTTCGTTTTTTCACTATTTACGCGGAGAAAAAGGGATCCTCAAGCTTATCTTCTTCTTCTTCTTTTGATCAGTGATTTTGTTGTGATCGCGAAGAACACAAACGTCGCCATTGCAGACGAATCGGCTTGATTCTGAAGATTCAGAGAAACAGCCCCAGAAATTAAACAAAGCCATTAATGAAGAAATTGTGGCTTCTCTCCTTTTTTTTCTCCTCAAAATCTCTCTATTTGCTTTGTTTATTTGAAATTATGTGATTCTGTTTTATATAGAGAGAGAGCAACAAAAAATGTGAACACCGTGTGAAAGTCGGTCATGCCAATTAAGTCCATTTAAACCACCCATTACCATTCCTTATTATTTTAGAAAAAATTGTCGATTTGTTTCAATTTATATGATACATTTTTAAAATCAAGTCAGATTTAAAAGTAATATAATTTTAAATTTTGTACTTTACTCTTAATGAGTATAATGATTTGACTTTATAACTGTACTCATAAATTTCAATCGTTTTTTTTTAAAATTTTATACTAGTTAACGTGTTAAATCATTTTTCCATCATATCAATTGAGACGAAGGAAGTAAATACTTCCCATGACTATTTGTTTAATGTTTGAATTGACTTTTCAAGGAAATAATTGTGCTTTTGCCCTTCAAATTAGTCGGTATTTAGTTTTTGCTTTTAGCAATTGAACTTATATCTAGTAAGATATAAGTTTTTTAAGGGTAAAGATAATAATTTGTAAAATATTATGATATAATAATAACCATAATTATTCACGGTGGTCTCACAAAAAAAAGGTTGTTTCCAATAATATTAATACAAAAATATATATTTATAATTTGAAAAAAAATTATTTACCTTGAAGGACAAAAGTGTCAACAACCCTCAATTCATAATATTGTTTTCAATTTTCTCTATTGGGCCCACCACTAGCAATTAAACACGTTTTAATGAATGTGGTCTTCCTTCTAAAGAGCACATCCATATTTTTGAGTTGTTTTTTCTTTTCAAAGATTATAGGTGCTATACAAAATATATTTATGTAATCAGATCACTTAAAAAATAATTATAATTAATATTAATTGATGTGCGAAAGTAAGTATCTCATAAAATTAGTTGAGATGTGTGAAAATTGATCCAAACATCACGATATTAAAAAAAAATACGTATGCAAGAAATATCTAGGTAGATGCAATAAGAAGCACTAGAATAACTAGTGGGAAGGTGTCTTCATGTGTGTACAAGATTTAGGTCAACAATTTTGACATTTAACCCATCACCATTATGTTTTTGTACTTGCTAGTTGCTACACGTGCTTTTGACAATGGAACCATACCTTTGATGGGCTAGTGAATGGCTTTTGTTGTTTCAAGTTTCTAACTTTTGAAACTATTTGATTCAATCACGATCACGATAGATATTTAGTCAATTACGATTGTGCTTACATCAAAACTTTTTTTCTATAATATCAAGAGTTGATTCAATTGCAACACTTACTGTAACAAAAAAAAGCGTAAACTCATTTTAAATTACAAGTAAAATAAACATTCTCCATTAAAACTATTTTATATAGAGGATTTGAAATCGAGAATGTTAATAGGTGGAGAAATCTTATTACCTTAATAATTCTACTAACCATCAAGCATGCGTTTCCAAAATTTATTCATATATACAAATGTAATAACTTGAATTAGTAAAATTATTGACTTTTATCGAATATCATATGGTAAATAGTGCATTCGCGCCCCTCAAGAATAGGCCCCGTACCCAAATATGATATTTATTAAATGTCTATTCATGTTATTATATGTCGTTACGTGACTTAACCAATCTCTCATATAGTCCACAAACAACTTTCAATTATTCATTACCAATCAATTTTATAGACACAAAATAAAGTTTACTCTATTGAACATAAACCCTATTTTAGTGCTAGTTGCTTGGATAAATGGAATAACAAATAACGTCAATTCAGTGAAATATTGAATATTATGTGTTCAGTATGTACATGACTTATTTTTTTTATGATCGTTGGTCAGTATCAGGTTTTGTGCATCTTGATTAATTCCACGAAATACTTGCTATTTCCATCAACAACAGGTACCAAGTAACTCTATCCACCAAAACTAGAACAAATAAGAAAAATCATCTAGTATTTTTTTGTCTCCATTGAGAATTGAAAAATTATACAACTAATTTTAGATGTTTCTAGTTCAGTCAATTATTTTACCATATATCATTTGTCTCCACTGAGAATTTGAAAAATCATACTAATTTTAAAGGTTTCTATATATATATATATTCAGTCAATTATTTAACTATGATACGTTAATATAAACATTCGATACAAATAAATTTTCCCTATCCATCTATCGAATGCATGCACCTTTCCAAATTTCTTTATAAGGAGCTGAAAATAGTTTAATAAAGTAGCTGATATTGTTTATAGCACACCAATACATTGACAATTGTTTAATTTAATAGTATATAAAAGGACAATTCATAAAAGCCACAACAAACTAGTCAAAAATTTGATTAATCAATTAAGCCTAAATATCATTAATTAATTAACACGATTGTGCAAAAAACATTTGTAATCATTTTGATCTTCACGATTCTAACTCTCAAATTAATATTAGAGTACTCAATTATTGATTTAAATCTAATTTTCCTTATACGAGCAATCACAAAATAGATTTTCATATTCATGCTTTCGAAATCATGAATTAGTATTTCAATTTGCAACAATCATGTTAAATCTTTCGATTTTTCCATCTCACTAACAACTCAATTTTTCGAGCTTATTCGTATCGAAAGACTTCAACTAGTAGATAAATATGAGAATTCGAATTCGAATTAACATAACCTAAAATCAAAGAGATACATAAATCGACTTAAATTGCTATAAAATGTAAACTATTGTTACTATTCGATAATAATTCGATTTGAACGAAATTATCAATTCCACCATTCGAATAATCTCCCAAAAAATTGACCTGGAAAATCGAACCTCGAAGATGGATCATCATCAGTAACCAACATAGACAGCAGCATTCACAATGTAACAATCATCATTTTTATCTCCCATTTCTTCGACTTCAACACCACTGGAGCATATCAATCCGCCATCAACGACCTCAACGTTCGAGATTCTTCCATAAGGAAACACTGATTTCACTTTCTCCAGATCTAAAGTTTGTTGCAGAGGCCGAGGAACTCCTAATTTGATTTGCAATTTCATCTGATCGAATGAAACTCCAGGTATAGATCCTCTTCTGAACGCTGGTATTGAATTCGATGAAATTGCATTTTTACAGGCTCGCATAGCAGCTGAGGTTACGTCTTGACCGTGTTGATCGTAGCCGACGCCCATTTCGACGAAGAGAAGAGTCATCGATGAATTAGGCACACACGCCATAGCCGCCGCCGACGACGAAGAGGAGGAAGAAGCTGTGATTTGACGGCGATGGATTCGAGGTACGAAAGGAAAATGAGTTGAGCTAGGATAAGGCAAACTGGCAAAATCGAGGAGAGGCGGCTTATAGTGAAAAGAACACCTAAGGGCATGTTTGGTACGTTGAAAAATATTTTCCTGAAAAATAAATTCTGATCATTTTTGGCAAAGAGGTACACTCTCCGTTCCTTTTTTAGTTATAGTTTTTGAATATCTAAAATTTATTTTATCAAATTAATACAATCTAATTTAATTTTAAAATTAGTTAAATTGACTCTAAAAAAGCATCGGACTTCGCTGACCCAACAGTTGTGGCCCAATCTCAGAGTCTTTCAACAATAAAGGCTATCATATATGTTTCTCTCATTCCCTGCTCTCCTAAATGGGGATAAGGTGTTTTACGTCGAAAACAATCTCTTTACCCTCCATAAAGTAAGGGTAAAATTACATATACGCTAATAAAATTTGCAACAATCTTTTTCATCTACTACTAAGAAAGAAAAAATCTTAAAATATTTCATCAATAAATGACAAAACTCCGTTGTATAGATGTCATCAACGGACATCAAAGTAACTGTGAAGATGAAGACAATGCGCATTATGAAGTTGATCTGCTATATGCTTCCAAAACAACACTAATTACTTGTTAAAATAGTGATGATTGGGGGTTGAAAACTTAGTCTTGTCATGTCATATCTAATCACCTTCCCACCTTTCAAAATAGTTTTGAGACCAAGGAAAAGGAAACAGGAATGTAAAGCCATCTTAGCAAACGGGAAATGAGCAACTTCATAAAGGTAACTACATAAACCAGTCAATGTCAACCCAAGAGAGCATCTTGGTAGAAAGATAATTCGGAAGAGTAGGCTAACGTAAGTATTTACAAGTTTTCTTAAGACTTATTTACACAGTAATAAGGTCTCTGCTTGAAACTTCAAAAGGATCCGAAGGTATTCTCGCCACTGTAGGTCATGTACAGGAAGCCATCCTCATCCTTGTGTTCCTCATAAATGGCAGACATCATGGCAGCTGTAACAATGTGGGAGAACAATTAAAAAAGGAACTGTTCAAAGCAAAGTAACAACAGATACTATAGAAGTGTTCTTCTCACCTGTAGGGGGGAGGATATTCTTCACAAAGATAAAAATAGCCTTCTCAGCGCTGAGCTTAATCCTCTTGCGAACAACATACACAAATTGGCCAACAGTCAGATCCGCAGGAACCAAATACCTGCAGGTATTTCGATTAACAAACAATTTGCAGTTAAACCTCAGCAAAACTTAGAAAGAGCATGACCGCATGGGAAGATTAGCTAAGTCAACTTTGTTCAACCTCTCTGGCGGTAGAAATCATCGTTTGAGTTGCTTTAACACCAGTCGACTATAAGAAAAGAGTAAAAAGGTCCTGGAATTTCATTTCGACATTCTACAACAAAATTTTCACACTAGCCTTGGATTTCTATAAATACCTTGCTAGCACAAATTAAAGATCTTTCAGCCTGATTAATGGTAATACTACTACTAATGAGTCAAAAGATTGATTCAACAACAATAAAAAAAATACTTGAATAAGTTATTCTGCGTAAAGATATAGCAAGAATTTACATCAGTCACATCATAGTTCAAAGGGAAATTATACACCATAGTAACTATACAACTCAAGAGCCACATCATAGTTCAAATGGAAGATATACACCATAGTAACCATACAACTCGAGAGCCACATCATAGTTGAAAGGGAAGATATACACCATAGTAACCATACTACTCGAGTGCAACAACTACAAAGGTACATTATTATGGCATTATCACAGGGAAACAAAAGCTCATTTGTGACAAAATAATAAAGCACTCTGAATGTAAGGACATTGTCAAATGAAAACCCAAGTAAACATTGCAAAGCTCAAGGTGATAAAAGACTAACTTTTTCTTGTCAATGTCAGGTATGTCACTTCTTTCAGCTTTCTCAACAATCACCTAAATAGCAAGAAGAAACAAGGAATCAGGTTGGGTAAAAAGCATATAAAATTTGTAGCACATCCAGAAGAGCATTGCAAGAGAATATATGAAATTCGTACCGGTATTCTATCAGGGTACTTCTCCCTGATACGAGCAGCTTCAGCCTGTCGCCTCTCTACATGAATGCAAAACCAAATTAACATAGCAAGAACACGACATCCAAAAATTGCAGAAAAAGAAAGTTCCAAGGAAAAGAAAATTCAAAAGATAAACCTAGAAGTATTAGAAGCACATAAACAAAATATACACTAAGTAAGTAGGTATCCACAAGAAGCCCATGCTCAACCATCAAACAATAGACAATACCCCTCCAAAAGTTATTGGGAGAACATCAAATGATTAACAATAAGAACAAACAGCTTCAACCAAATAGAGAATTCTTTACCAGATTACATGTACGATGTTCTTATACTTAACTTTGTACACCACATAGTGGCAAATTTCTCACAAAATCTTTAAAATTGCAGCAAGTACAAGAACTAGGCTACTAGTAATATAGAACAAATATGCATACATAATTGAAACCTATGTTGCTCAGACTCTCCAAAAATGTTGCCGTATCCGTGTAGAATACTCCACAACCATTGACATTTTTGAAGAGTTCATACAACAACATAAATTGTTAACTAAAAAAAGGAATTCCAAAAACTCCTATTGTATCAAATAGACAGTCAAATCCACAATCAGGAATCAAGCATATGCACAAAAAGGGTTTTATGTATAATCCCCCACCCCCAAACCTCACAACACCACCCTATCTCCACCCCCAAACCTCACAACACCACCCTATCTCCACCCCCAAACCTCACAACACCACCCTATCTCCACCCCCAAACCTCACAACACCACCCTATCTCCACCCCCAAACCTCACAACACCACCCTATCTCCACCCCCAAACCTCACAACACCACCCTATCTCCACCCCCAAACCTCACAACACCACCCTATCTCCACCCCCAAACCTCACAACACCACCCTATCTCCACCCCGCATCCATGTAGGATCCTCCACACCTTTTTGAAGAGTTCGAACAACAACAAAGATTGTTAACTGAAAAAAGGAATTCCAAACCTCCAACTGTATCAAATAGACACTCAAATCCACAATCAAGAATCAAGCATATGCACAAACAGGGTTTTACCGTATAATCCCCCACCCCCAAACCTCACAACACCACCCTATCTCCACCCCGCATCCATGTAGGATCCTCCACACATTTTTGAAGAGTTCGAACAACACCAAAGATTGTTAACTGAAAAAAGGAATTCCAAAACCTCCAACTGTATCAAATAGACACTCAAATCCACAATCAAGAATCAAGCATAAGCACAAACAGGGTTTTATTGTATAATCCGCCACCACCACCACCAAACCTCACAACACCACCCTATCTCCACCCCCAAACCTCACAACACCACCATATCTCCCTCCCAAACCTCACAACAACACCCTATCTCTACCCCAAACCTCACATCACCCTATCTCCACCCCCAAAACAATAATTCATCAATTATCACTCTGATTAAAGAAATTCCAGAATTGAACAATTCAAAGATCAGATCTTATAACCAAAACACAATTAAAAAAAAACAGGAAAAATTACCAAGAGGGTGTTCCAATTTGAAGGAGCTTTTGGCCATGGTGATCTGAGAATGATTAACAAAAAATTGGCGTATCTGCAAACCAAAAGATGAAAATAAAATTAGGGTTTTCTAACAGAAAGGGGAAAAAGATCCGGAGTTTTGTTTAGGGAAAAGAGAGCTTACTCAAAGAAATCACAAAGAGAGTGAAAGACGCATCCAAAATTTTCTCTTTGTTTATAAAATAGAAAAATGCTCTATATAGTTGGATAATATTTTATCCCTTTTTTCGCGCGAGAAAATCACAAAAATCGTCCCTTCTATTTAAAGATTGGTTTAAAGTAGTCCCTTACATATTGTTTTGATCCATTGGGGTCCTTTGAATTTATCAAACATGAATTTTGTTGAAAATATTTAAAAGTTAGGGGTTAAAAGACACCTAGAATATTCAATTTTCTTGAGTTTCACAAAATGTTACTTGAACTATCAATTGTTAAAGTTTTATACTAGAAATTTTAGATAGGAAAAGTAAATAATTAAATATTTAAAAGATCAATTGAGATCCTTTAAATTTATCAAACATGAATTTTATCAAATATTTAATCATCATAATCCATCGAGTGAAATTAATGGTTTCTTGATCACGATCAATTTAAGCTTGTTAAATTTGAAGAAAGTTAAAAGATGTAACTAAAATTACTAAGAAGTCTCATTAAATCCTAGAAATTGCTACACAAAATATAGAGGATAAAAATATATAACAAAAACAACTCTAAATGTAGCATCAAACTCTAAAAATAAATCAAAGAGAGAGTTAAACCTACAAATATGATACCTCCAAAAGTATTTGCCGGAAATGAAATAAATTACTTTTGTCAAATATAAAGGACTAAAATTGCTCGGATCATATTTAAAGGAGTACTTTAAACCTTTCACTCTTAAGGGACCATATTTATCATTCTCTCTTTTTAAACCACGGGCCATGGCTTTTTTCATGCATGAGGCAGACAAACTAGCCCATTTTCGTCAAACAATCCGTACCGAGTCGAAGATTAGGGTAGAAAGTTAGTAGTTAGTTGAGTATTTTCGTACTTCATGTGAGAAAGTTAGTAGCTAATTGAGTATTGTTTTACTTCATGCGGGAGAGCTAAAGGTTAGCCTCCTCTTTGCTTCTCCTTATTAGTAAATATTATTTAGTTATCACATGATTTTTTTCTTCAGTTTTTATTACTGCTTCATTTGTTTTATATCATGTTATTTTAGTATCTAGCTCAATTTTTTTTATTTTTTTTGAAACGAGGGTCTATTATATTAAGAATAGTTGTTCTTAGCAGGGACAATCTTTTACTCTTTAATATCAGTCAAACTCACAAATATTGAGTGCAAATAAGTATTTCAACCGCCCTCGCATATGTTTCTGAATCAATTGCTTCTCCCAACTACCTGAAAATGAAAAGAAACTCTATCCTCAACCCTTCCAATCCTTAGTTCATGGTGGCAACCTCACCCCGTGCATTCTTTGGTTGTGAGCCCCACTAGAAGGAAGCCCTAAGGAAAGAGCATAGCGTTAAATTTGTCTCGCCTTTCCGAGATTTGGAATCCTTCTGTTAAGCACCAATCAAAATCCAATCTGACTTCTAAACGGAGGACCCCACTTTCCCACATCCCTCTCCCCATATATGAATAAGAATGAAACAAAGTAACAAAAGGGAAATTTCATTTCACTACTTCATATAAAAGCAACAAACAAATCGGTGAAGTGTACACTTGTTAGTTTCCTCTCACAAGACTAACAAATTATTATATTCTAAGCATCTAAAAAGAATGACTCTTTACACATTTTGATTCACATATTGGTTGCTACAATATTATCCCTCTCCTTAGCTAATAATATTTGGAGCAGATACAGTGGCAACCTCTCTTCCCTCTCCCATTGATACAGTTTATATTTTATCATATCTGATGTTTCCGAGAATTCTCGGATACATCTTGTTTTTTTGAGTGTTCGTGTAATCATTTTTGGAGCTCCAGAGATTGGAGAAATGACGCATTTTGTCAAAAGGATGCATTCCACAAAGCATTCTCGCCTTCCCCACAACGTCGATGAACCTCCTTAATCCTATCTACGGACCTGCATATCCCGCTGCAGCTCCAATCAAAGGAAGCAACACAAATGTTGCCTGCTTGAGCTTTCCACTCACAATCTGGTGAAATTACGATAGACAAAATCAAATTTAGTCATCTCGGAACATTTAGAGATTAATCAAATCAAACTTCTTCCCGAGTCAACGTTCCTGGTCTGAATACTGGGAATGCAATTCAAGAACTTTCCTCAATCAAACAAGCCATGAAAATAGTATAGAAAAAAATTGTCTCATGAGGCAATAATGAGGAAAAAAGAACAAACTAACAGATTGGTGCCATGTGCATAAAAGGACAAGGCAGCCATGTGGAAGAAAAAAGCTACACTACCTGAATGGTACCATGTGAAGAAGTACAGAACAGTCATGAGGAAAAAAGGGAAGGAATCATGTACTGTTTCTTGATAGTGTATCAACTGCCACAGGGTAAACCACCACCTCTCGGTTCCCGTGGTTGTTCTAATAGACTAATACCATGTAAACCAAATAATGAGGCCAACCAAAAAAAATATCTAAGCCTTTCGAATTAACCAAAATGGAAAGATCATAGAGTACTTGGAGAAATTCTAAAATCAATTGCTTGATCTTGTAGGCAGATCTCAATAACCTTTCCAAATTAGCAAATGATCATTATCGCTATAATTCCTGCCTGACTGCCTTATTTGGTTGGAAAAACAATCAAATGTGGAAATATGAAAAACGGTACTTCAAGTTTGGAAATATTCAATGCAGATACAAAGATCAAAACTTCATGGAAGCTTAAGACTGACAGTTCTAGAAAATGCTCTATTTCCAAGAAATAACTGTATGAATTGTTACCTGGCGGAGTTCCACAACACAATCTTCTATCATCTATATGTTCCACATCCAATCCAATGAGCCATGACCCCAACGAGACATCCTCATTAACATACTTGTGTAGAACATGCCTAGGATGATTAGAGATTAGGATCAGCAATTGATAATCACACAAAACAACATAATACATTCCAAGTATATCAGGAAACAACAAAAACTTACTGATTTAAAGATATATAAGTAGCTAAATCTTTTGAAATGGCATATAACTGCCCTGTTGCATGTCGAAAATATCTGTTTCCGTCCTCACCAAATTTCCAATGCTCAGGCTCATGATATCTCACTCCCCTGCAAAGAGGAGGGGCAAAATAGAGATGAGTCGAGGAAATATATCTAAGACTCGTTTACGGTCAAAAGTAGAACTCCTCTGCTTACTTCTGAGCAAGGACGGGACCAGATTTCATGCAACCAATATATACCCGAGGTTTCGAATGATGCCTAGCTAGAGTTGCTCCCAGTGCACCTGAAGTTTCCAAAATGCATGTTCTCAAATGAGTGACGGGCATAAGTATAGCAGTGCACTTGTTGTAGTAATACAAACATAGCCTTTCTGAACCATCTATGAAGGTCCTACGGTCCTACCTATATTTACATGTACATCATCATCAACTTTAATATAGAAATCAGCATCCCACAGAGCAACAGCAGTAGTAAAATATGTCTTTGTCTTGGCAGATAATTCGAGATATCCCTCAACATGTTCCTACAGAAGTCACAGTAACATGTCCGATAGTTAGATTAGTTTTAGGGGGGTGGGATCTGATACAAGACTAGACCAAAAAGTGTTAATGTTACCAGCCTCAAGAAATCTCCATGCTTCTTGTCTTCTGCTTCAATTGCTCTGTCGAGAATGCCACCTGATGTTGCACTGATTATTGGAAAATTAGATCAGTAAGACTACAAGAACATCAAATTACAAGTAAATAAATATGCAAACTAACACCTCCAAATTACTCCCTCCGTTTCAATTTGTTTGACTTACTTTCCTTTTTAGCCGTTTCAAAAAGAAGACCTCTTTACTTTTTTGGTAACTCTTTAATTCTAATTTTTAAGACCACAAGATTGAAGGACATTTTGGTACATTCTACATATCTTTAGCTTAAAACCACAAGATTCAAAAGTTTAATTATTTTCTTTAACTCTGTGCCAAGTCAAAACCAGACAAACAAATTGAGACGGAAGGAGTAATAGGAGTAATATTAAATATCAGCTTCCCCCACTTTAAAGTATCTTTTTAAGTACTGAGTCTTCAACTATACTAGACAAAATTGTGAAAATGTGAACTAAATCTTTGTTTTTGTCATCCCTAATATATGCTCTAAGAAACTCTTGAAGGAAACACACAACACCAAGAAGTTATAAATGGGTGATGATGGTCACTGCCAGAAAGTAATTAAGAGCCAACAACATTATCAAGAAGATTGGGAACACAACACCTTGAGAATATACCAGCTATCAGTTGTAGTACTCACCTGTGACCTATTACAAAACGAATTACAATGCCCTTTTCTTCCTCTAGCTTCTTTCGCTTATCACCTGTTTTCCACGAGTCAATAATCAAAATGCTTAGTATGCATCCAACATTTGGAAAATCCCCACAAGTAACTCAGAAAAACACAAATAGTGAAGCTCAAAAACCTTGTGGCATCCAAGTAGCACGAACTGAGTCTCTTCTCTTTCGGCTGTTGAAGGCAGTGTTTATCCCTATGACCATTCGATATTTTCTCTTCTTGGCCAATTCGGGGATCTTTATGTCTTCTGTTATTGGAGAACCACTCAGTATAGAATCTTGCAACGCCCTTGCTGCAGCTAGTTCCATCTCTAGGTTTGAAATTGTTTTATCCAAGGTTCTGTATTTTGTTACAAGGACAACAACAATTGAATTCCTTGTTTTGTAGGAAAATGAAGTATGACATTCAGCAAATCAAAAAGTTAAAAGCATGAAAACATACTGTATAGCATGGTGTGTTTTCGTAACTTCACCGAAAATGTCCTTGGATTCGCTTTTCACATCCTTCTGTATAAAGCAAGAACACAAAAGCTATTATTTTGACGACAACAACAACAACTAAACCTCAATCCCAAACAAGTTGGGAATCGTCTATATGAATCTCCATTTAACTAGAATGACTTAAAATCATTTCTCAAATCGTCTATACTCACATTGGTAGGATCACAGTCCTCAGAAACTACCCCTAGCTTTTGATCATCAATCTGTGTTGTCCTTGTTATGCCTTTAGCTTCTGGCACTGTCCACATCCTATAACCAAATATCCTCATTGTTGAGAAAATAGAACAAAGTTGCAAAAGGCTCAATAGTTGTGCAAGTGGGAAGATAACAGAAAAAGGAGCATTTTAAGCTACTCTCTCCATTCCAAAATACTTGTCACATTACCCTTCTCGATAGTCAATTTGACTAATCTTCAGAGCTAAATTGGATTAAGATATTCAAATATTATAAGTAAATGTAAGTCAAAGTTAATGTAGTTTGAATCTCGCGAATCGGAAAATGACAAGTATTTTGTGACAGATGGAGTGACATTAATATGCTCAGAAATGCAGCAACAGATCTCTTTCACAACTAAAAAACAGGCTAATTTCAACAACAGCACCATCCTAATTTAGAAGTATTGCTAAATAACATCATTAAATTGCATAAACAAAACTAACAAGATCAAAAGTTCCCTATAAAAACATACAATTAACAATCTATATAAACCTCAGAATGGTAAGTCAAATCCTTGTATAAAGATCCAAACTTTTCTTTTCATTCACAACAAGTTGAAAGTTCAAGTAACCAATAACCAATCAACCGAGCTACTAAGATTTCGCGTAAAGATCCAAACTTTCATAATCCAATTCAAAAAACAGAAAGATCAAATGAATGAACCTGTCAGTGAAGAGCATCCCAACACAGAAGCATCCAATACATAGAAGAACAGTCAATTTCCTAGAAAAAACACCTTTTCCAGCTGATTCACCTCCTCCTCTACTTTTCATTGTGCTCTTCATTGCTTAAACCAATTAACAGCTAATTCAAACAATACCCATTTCAATTCCCAACTCAACAACCCCAAAAAACCAAAGAACCCCCAAAACAGTAGCAATTTCAAGATTTAAAAAAAAAAGATTTCTTTTTTAACAAAAGGGGTTTCTATTTTCACATGGGAGAAGCTCCCCAGGTCAGTGAAATAGAAGAAGAAACTGTTGAATATGTGGAATTGAAGAAAACAAGACCCACAATACAGCACTTTGTTCAAGAATCCATCTAAGTTAGTACTAATTTCTTATTATTCTTTTAATGGTGGACACCTGTTTCTCTTTTCTCTCAAGAGAGAGATGACATTGTCGGTGAGATAACAGGTAAATTTTTGTAACTGTAAAAAAAATAAAAAATTAAATCTTTGGGAAATTGTCTCACTCTAAAAGTGTTTTTTTTTTCAGTGTTGGTTCAGGAAAAAAAGATCATGGACAGTGCACTTGTATTACTGTTTGATGTTAGAAGTTGGCAGCTGCAAATTTGTTGGAAATGGGGTCACCTCAAATGTGTTTTGATCTACATAATAATCATGTAGTGGATTGTTCGGTACGAGAGATAAGGAATAATTGATTTTGAGATTGATTTTAGGATGAATTTATTTTATGTTTGATTGAGATGAAATCGCGGAATCACTTATCCCGAGATTGTAGTGTTACTTTTATCTTATATTGAGAGTGAATTAATATCCATCATGACATAATCAATTTTCCAACCAAATGAGTCCTAAGTAGTAAGTATGCTGAGTATGGAGTTTTCCAATTTTTATAAGGTTCTTTAAAATGTTTTAAAAAATATTCTTAAAAATGACGAATGAAAATAGAAAAATAAGTTTCACGAGTGATTTTCCTTGTGACATTTTCTCACCCTATAATATAGCTCAATAGCTCATCCCCTCCCCCCCTTCTATATACTCTTACCCTCATCTTTTCATAATATTTTGTTCAAATTATATATAAATCTTTTTTTAAATAATATTTACACCTATATATATCAAACATAAATAAGAAATTTACTTATTTTTTCTAAAGACATTTTCCTTTTCGTCGAACATAGATGTTAAGGTTGAAAAGGAGTATTTGAAAATCACATTAATTGGTGTTTATTGTTGATGCATAGTATTAATTATTTATCTAATGATAAAATACTATAGATTATCATAATCTTTTGAAAAAAATTAAGACATCTAAAGAAGGAGGAGGAAAAGGGAAGGAAATGTTATATATAGATGAAATTCAAAATCTTCCACCTCAATGGTGAAAAAATCAGATAGCTCACCAACTAAGGTAATCAAACAACTTCATATTTAAACAAATCTTTAATTGTCTTTCTTTTGTTTGTAATAATTTCCATAACACTATGTTTAAATTAAAGATTGAATCAAAAGACTACTTGTGTTTACATAATACTCATTTGTTCTTATCAAAATGAGTATCAATGTTTACCATGCTAGGTACTATTATCATAAGTGTGTAAAATTTTATGATCATTTCAATGAAACAAATGAAGGATTGTTTTCCCTAATGTTATCTAACTTTTTGAGATATCAATACTTTATAATAAGATTGTGGTGTTCTCATTATAGTTCTTTTTGGTCATTTTCTCCTAAAAATAAAAAGGTGTATTCAATGAATTAGATATCAATAATTGCATTAGAGAAAAAGAAATTCAAATAGAATACTTGGGATTAGATATCATGCCAATATGATTGGTACATCATTCAACAGTATAATATTTCATGCAAATAGAATCAAAACTAAAAATAATAATTTATGAATTCTTAATCATGTTTTTTTGGTTTATTGTCTTTTAAACAAAATATTATATTTATTATATAAATTCTTCAATACAAGTATAAATTTTGAGTTTAAACTATTGAATTTTACCAACCCTGTGATCACAATACTGGCTCCGCCCTACATGAGAGTGTGTGAAAGTGATGTGTTACCTCAACATCATCTAAATACACGTTTTTTATTTATAGTATTCAAGCACTATCAATGGTTGTGCGTAGTTCTTTGTTTTAATTAGAGGTCTCGAGTTTGAGACCTGAATATGAAATCACTTTTAGTAAAAAATACTTTACTCCGAAAGTGAGACCTCCTTGCATGAATCCAAATTAATCAAATCCTAAAAAAAACCGAACATTGAATGATTATTTAAAAAAGAAACAACATATATTTGTATTATTTTTTTCTAGCAAGAGTTTCAAGTGGGGTCCCTAGTGGTTAGGTTATCACCACCTTCCAGCCATTTTTTTGTTTGGTTGAACATGATTGGCTACCAAATATGAAACTCAAAGCAAAGAATGCAAAAGAAAAAGTGAGAAAAAAAAAGTCATAACTTTGAGGTACATAAATTTTATTTTTCGATTAATTATTTGCTATTCGAAATTTAATGATTCAATAAATTCAGATATACAATAGGTAAGGTTCATGATATTTGACATTTGGCATAATGAAATTTACTAGATATGTTATTATCGAGAACATATAACTTTTTTAAAAAGTATTTTTGACTCGAGTAATATTCTTAAAAAAAATAAAATACTTCATTATGTTATACTAACCTAGCACCATCTGGACTCACTCTTTGTATTACTATCATCAGTTAGAAGTTTTTTTTTCATAAAATAGTAAGCATAATGTATAAACGTATCTTTTAATTTAGCATTAACTGATATTTATGCTCTCTAACTTTAAGTGTACATGAATAGACATTTAAATTTATATAAAGTTTATCAACTAGACACATGTGCGTAGAACTCCACGTAGAACGCAAATTATCTCACGTAAAACACATATGTCTACTTATTCAACTTAATACAAATCTAAATATTTATTTGTTGCACATTCAAAATTAAATTTTCTCTATATATTTATACCGAAATCACTAGAAAGTTTCTTGTCACTTTAGTCCTTAGTGGACAATTTTTAATTCACACGTATAAAACATGCACAAGAAGAAAATTAATACGTAATCAAGATTTCTTATTTAAATATGAGCTAATTTGCCATTTTTTCAAATTCAGACCTCAATTATTATTTTTAGCTTATGGCAAGAATTTTATTTTTTCCCTCCATAAATGGTTCATCATTATCATTTTACAGACCAATAGTAGCTAAAATGGGCCAAAATCAATCTTATTGGGCCTCTATTGAATCTGATATTGAAGCCCATCTCAAGAAGGTCATCTCAATTAGGGCTCCTGAATCTGTGTTCGAGCCCATGCATTACTTGACTTTTACAACACCCAAATCCACAGCACCAGCTTTGTGTGTCGCGGCGTGCGAGCTGGTGGGTGGTGACCGAGCCCGAGCCATGGCTGCAGCATCGGCAATACATCTCATGCATGTCGCTACTTACACCCACCAGCACATGCAGATGGCCCGGACGAAGCCCAGGCCCGTAATTGAGCACGAGTTTGGCCCGGATGGGATCATAGTTGAATCACAAGCTAAAGGCTTGGGCCTGGCCCGTAATTTAAGGGACATTGAGCCCGAGCACAAGTTTGGCCCGAATATCGAGCTTCTCACGGGTGATGGGATCATGCCCTTTGCTATTGAACTGATAGTTAAAGCTATGAGCCCGACCCGAAAAAACTCAAACAAGATCATGAAGGTTATTACTGAGGTGACACGTGCCTTTGGGTCGCAAGGGTTGCTAGAAGGTCAATATCGCGAGATAGAATGGACTCAATCAGGCAACGAAAACGAGGAAATGTTCGAATACGTGTGCAAGAAGAAAGAAGGGGAGATTCATGCATGTGGAGCTACTTGTGGTGCAATTTTAGGTGATGGAAATGATGAAGAAATAGAAAGGTTGAAGAATTATGGGCTTTATGTTGGAATAATACAAGGAATAATAAATGGAAGAAATTACAACAAAAAAATGGAGAAAAGGGTGAATGAACTTAGAATATTGGCCATGAAGGACATGGATACAAGTTTCAAAGGGAAGAAATTAATGAAGCAAATTGCTAGTCTTGTTGAAGAGTCTATCATAATGTGATCTTGTTTAGATTTTGAATAACATGTTTAATTTGATCTATTAAAAAAAGTAATAAAGAAGATGTTTTGTTATAAGTATGATTTTGCATTACTGTACTAGCAATTTTATTAAAGTGAAATAAGTAAACACACAAATGAACAAATTGAAATTGTTATTCGAGTTAAATGAATTGGACAATGATATGCTATTCAAATCTTATTTGACGACCCAACTCTTCTTCTAATAAATTAGGTCGTGACTCATTTATTGATTCAATCTACGTAAGTTTCATCCAGTAATCTTATTCAAGTTTGCTTATAAGTATGATTTGTGTTACCGTCTTTTATTACATAAAGTGAAGCAAGTAACAAATAAATGAGCAAGTTAAAAGTGTTATTTAAGTTAGACAAATTGAATAATAATCTTTTTATATATAAAAAAAATAAATAAAAAATCTGGTACTCAAATTATATTTGCCTTCCCAACCCTTCTTTGATATATTAGGCCGTGCCTCAATTATAAATTCAATATATTTTAATATACATAAGTTTAATTCAATCCGTCCATTAATTTTATACTATAAATTCCCAAAATTAAAATGGTGGGGTTCAAATGTCATGATCATATTTAATTATGAAGGGAGTAATAAAATATAAAAAGAGAAATTGGTTATCTAATAGCCTAATACTACAGGAAAGCAGATCTTGTCGACTATATACTAAAAAGAAAAATAATATTTTGATTTTGAGGGCTTCCTAAACTTAATCAAGTAAGCAATTATTGGCCACCCACCAAGTGAATAAATTTTACTATTAGTTTTTAATATATAATATTTATTTTATATGATTTATGAATAAATTTAACATGCCGTAATACTATAAGTTTTTACTATATAATATTTATTTTATATGATTTTATCATTATTTTTTATTAAAAAAAATATATTTGTCACCAACTCATCATTCATTACATATTTTGTATTATTTCTTTCTTTTTTTTAAAATACATTAGATAGTTATATATATCTTGTTATGACTAAAATAATATTTGAAGCACAAGTTAAAATTATATGTTTGTCGGAAGCAACTTCTCTACCATAAGATAGAGATAAGGTCTATATACATTCTGACTTCTTTAGACCCGACTTTATGAAATTATATTGAATATATTATTGTTATTGGTATGTGTAGTTTCCACAAGCCACTAGCTACTTAAATAATATCGAATTTAGACGTTGTTAATTCTAATTAAACATAATAATTCAATTACTAATCAAATCCTATTGTTGATGTCTTACGATCATCAACTATGACCACGTCATCTACACAATTATAATACAACAATAACAATAATTATGTCTCATAAATAAATCAGAATCGACTATATGAATCTTCACTATCGATTCATTCGATCTGATATTATTCAAGGAACCCTGTTTTACTTAATATTGCATTTCTCACCCTACTCAAATCTCTCCCTTTTAGTGTTCTTCCAACACCTTCACACACTGAAAAAGAAGATATTTTACTCCTTTCAAGTTTTTTAGCAATCCATTCATGTGGAGGCATCATTTCCCCTTCATCATCATCGTCATCATCATCGTTCTCTTCATCAAATTTCGAACTATTTCTCACCAAATTATGTCCTCCACCACCATAATCATTATCATTATCATCATCGTGCCACGAGATTTTTTTGGAACTTGTCCCATAAATTTTTGACCAATCAGGTACATTTACTGGAGCTGAATATTGAATTATTTTAGGTTCCTGAATTGAACTCTTACTCGATCTCTGAATCATTTTGGCTGCGGTGGGAAGCCTCCTAGGACTAAAAATTGGTGACGACTCTTTATTTCTGCTGAAATTTGAACCAAATTCGCGTCTTTCATCGGTGAAATTTCCCCAAATTTCTTCTTCTTGAAATTCATCATTCCTCATTGATGTCCATCCACTACTACCTTGACTATACAAATTGTACCTCCCTTCAGATGACGGTGTCATCTTCTGCGAATTTAAAAAAAAATTAATCGAAACTTTATAAATTTGTGATATTATATAAAAAATAAAATCGAGCCCATAAAATTCATTGTTTGTTATTAAGGAACTTAATCAAGATTCTTTTAACAAATAATAAAAATATTTGAAGTATTTCATTAGTTATATATCAACGATCCAATTAAAGTACTTGTATGTATGCATCAAATACTTCACCTTCCTCAAGGTAAGTGCATTCAAAAAGGATAAATTTTAACATATGATGTTATTATTTCCTCCCAAAATAAAACGAAATATATTTATTGAAATAGTGATACTTCAAACTTCAACGACAGTAAATAACACTGATTAAATTTTGTTGAAAACAATGAAGAGAAGAATGGAGACAAATTTAAAAAATAATCTTAGACAAGACCTCTGAATTTATAGATAACGAATAAAATATAAGATGAATTTGCAAAATGTACCTCTCTTTATAATTGAAGCTTGCAACAAATATCTTTCTTCAAGATCTAGAAAATTTTATCTGCAAAACACAAATTAAAGTGAAATAGTTAAAACAAAAGCAAACCAATAATAATATCATTAAGGAAATTAAAACACACAAAGAAAAATATGTTTTTTTGTACCTTAAAAAATCATATGAATTGGTGTTTGTTGAAGAGAGAAAAAGAGTCATAGAGAAGAGGGGAAATAGTGAGCAATCAAAGGAGAGAGATAAAGATCTTATAAGAGATTTCATAAATAATTGACCTATGTCTATTTTATTTTATTGTCTTTAACAAAATGATTGACTTATATTATTAAGGGAATGTGAAGATTCATTTTACAAAGTTTTTAAGAGTAGTTTTCAAAATCTTATTATACGATGAAATTTGATAAAATTTTGAAAATTCGATCTTCAAATATTTTTAGACCAGTGTTTGGAGCTTTTAACGACAATATTTTTTATATAAAAAAAAAGAATCAAGTAAAATGTATGTTCAAGTACAACTTTAAATTTCAAAAAATCATAACTTTAGAAACTTAAATTTTTCAAGTTTCAACTTCACAATTTACGGTCAAAACGGAGTCTTAAGAATATTTTTAGAACCGAGACAAAATTTGAGTTCCAATTACTATTTACGAATTTGACAGAACTCAATAATTTTGGACATTTAACTAATTAAAAGGTTTTATTTGCTAACGAAATTCATTATATGTATGTAAATTTATAAGCTGTCTTTTTTAAAATTCAGAATCATAAATTTAAAATTCCCGAATTTGCAAATAAAAGTGATTAATTAGTTATTTTTTCAATAAAGTATTACTCAAATCACAAGTAAATTGCTAGTATATGTTTGCTTTATAATAAGCCTCAAATCACATGAAAATTAGCTATTTAATTATTTGTCCCCTTTCCTATCTATTTCCTTAAAAATTGTCTACTTCTGCAAGAATTTTTTTTACCCTTCAAAAAGTTTATTTTATAAGGAAAAAAAAGAGCCTATAAGCACCTACACTAGTGCTCACCTTAATCAGTGCATTGCACGTGTAATATTTTTAAACATAATTTAAATTATCATGTTTAAGTTAACCTTGTTTTTTTCACGCATAACCCCCTTGTTTACAAAAAGTTAATGACATAAGAGTATTAATTAAGCTAATTAAGACGATTTCCATGAAAGTTCAGGTGATAATGATGTCGCCTAGTTGGAGATAATCAAATTAACTTTATTAATTCTGTCTAGGTGTCGACCACCTTCATTTTTTTAATTAAAAGGGAAAAGAGGCACACTGATTGATGTTTTTTTTTCCGGAACGAAGCTTGGTCACAGATTTTAAATTTTGAAATAAAAAAATTTAAATTTAAGATTTATTTTGGAATTCCAGAATAATTTGCAGCCTTTACAATCTCTATCCTTTGGGTGAGCACTTTATGCGCACTGGATCAACCCCGCATCATGTAAGAATTCACTTGTTTGAAGTTATGATTTTTAAAATTTATTTGGACATGTATTTTATTTGAAAACTTAAAAAAAAATTGCGAGTGAAATCTAAAAATTCAAAAATTGATTTGAGCTAGTTTATGAGAACTTAAAAATATTTAAATATTAAATTTTCATGGCCGAATAAATCTTTAAAGATAAATTTAATGACTTATGCAAATCAGTAAGTTCATACTCTTTCGGTCCATTTAATTTTTTAACTATTCTTTTAGCTCAAAAAATTATATTCATTTAATTAGAAATTTAATTTCTATGCAATGTATATTATTATTTTTTCACACTGCCAGTCAAGATGAACTATAGTGAGATATAACTTTTTATCGTAAATCTAATTTGGGAGTAATTTTTATGGAAAGTAAAGTAAATGACATGTGATAAACCCCGATACTCCTCTGTCTCATATGGATTATTTTTATTTTTATACGCATATTAAGAAATCATAAATAAGAAGATAATTTTACTAATTCACCACTTAGAAAACTTCTTGAAATTTTTACAAACAATTGTGAAATACTTTTAAAAGGAATTAATGCAAAGGTAATATAGGAAAAATTATTGATGCTTTCTTGATTCAGTAAGGTGGACAACTAATATGAGACAACTATTTTTAGTAAGACAATCAACTAATATAGACGATAGGAGTAACACATAACATAAAAAAATCAATTACACTATCAATGTAGATTACTAGTTGCCATTAAACATGCAAAATAATTAACTTAGTTACAATCGTCAAACAAAAGAGAAAAGAGACGTGCATATTTTTGCCTAGTAAAAAAAAGACCAAATTAAAGTGTAAAAGCATGTGTTCAACATGATGACACAAATAAAGTCAAAAACATCTTAATTTGTAAATAGAGAAAACAAATAAATGAAAAAGACATACATGAATTTAACCATTGAGAGACAAAGAAGAATAAATAGAGAAAACAAAGAGTAGCCATCATTCAATGTATCTGTTTGATTATGAACACAAATACATATTTTACAATTTTCACAAACTTTTAATTCCATCATAGCTCTTTATTCAGTGACGGAGTCAAAAAATTTATTAACGAGGTTTGTTGTTGATTTTTCATGAATTATTTATATGCGTAACAAACACATACTTCATTCCCTTCAAATTATTTACGTCAGTTTAATTAGATATGAAATTTAAGTAAATTCTTAAATATGATTTTAAATTAAAAATAAGTAATATTATATCAAAATATTTTTAAATTTATGCTACGTAACAATTTAAATTAAAAATTATTTTTAAAATTAGATGAATAAATTGATTGTAAAGATTGATGTAACTATTGAATTAAAAAAATAAATAAATAATTGAAGTAGCTAGATTCCTTTTCTCCACTATCCCTCTGTTTTTCAGTATTATTAATTTATTTAATTTACTTGACGTACACTTTTTCTTTCTTTTTATGGGATTAAAATAAAATATTTTGAGTTTGGCGGCTGTCAAACAGATCTGCGGCAGCCACTCTGGCCAACATCATGCTACTTTCACGCATTTCTATGATTTTCACGATTCCTCATTCATTCACCTTATTATTGGTATTATTTTTTAACAATCTTATTTCATAGTTTTGTAAAATTATTTTATACATATAAGTTAACTAGCGATGATACGATTATATCATTAATTAAATAAGCTAGAATTAAAAAAATCATACGATTTGCACCCCCTTTAACCCATCCCAACACTTAAATTCTAATTCCTCACTCATCTTTCTTCTTCAACAACCACATTTTATTGATGAAATTAATTAAGTATTTGAAATTGATTATTTTAAATTTAATTGATTGGGAGAACGACTATTTAATTTACTCAAGAGTAGCAATATAAATTTCACTAGTTTAGAATCTGTTTACGTACCTTTACTTTGGTTTTTGAAATTATCTTCTTGCCACATTAACTTCATCAAATACATGTATTTCGAATACATACGGGTCAAATTAGGTGTAGTTTATTTTAGATATATTATATTCAAGTATGATTCACATGGATATGGGATACACACTCTTCTCTCGCTCACCTCTTTCCAACTCTCGCTCGTCTCTCTCTCTCCCACCTCTCTCCTTATATATTTGTATTTCAAGATGTATTCGGGATCAAAATAGATACATGTTGACTCTCTCACTCACCTCTCTCCATGTATATCTGCATTTTAGAATGTATTTGGTATCAAAGATACATGTATCTATTAATAATAGATACATGTTGACTCTCTCACTCACCTCTCTCCATGTATATCTGCATTTTAGAATGTATTTGGTATCAAAGATACATGTATCTATTAATAATAGATACATGTTGACTCTCTCACTCACCTCTCTCCATGTATATCTGCATTTAGAATGTATTTGGTATCAAAGATGCATGTATCTAGTATCAATAGATACATGTTGACTCTCTCATTCACCTCCCACCCTATATATCTCTATTTCATAATGTATTTGGTATCAAAGATATATGTATCTATTAATAATAGATACATGTTGACTCTCTCATTCACCTCCCACCCTATATATCTCTATTTCATAATGTATTTGGTATCAAAGATGCATGTATCTAGTATCAATAGATACATGTTGACTCTCTCACTCACCTCTCTCCATGTATATCTGCATTTTAGAATGTATTTGGTATCAAAGATATATGTATCTATTAATAATAGATACATGTTGACTCTCTCATTCACCTCCCACCCTATATATCTCTATTTCATAATGTATTTGGTATCAAAGATGCATGTATCTAGTATCAATAGATACATGTTGACTCTCTTGCTCGACTCTCTTGCTCGACTCTCTCCCTCTTTCGCTCACCTCTCTCCTTATGCATTTGTATTTCAATACGTATCTAGTATCATCTAACTTGAAATAATTAGGAGGAATGATGTATCTGACTTGAAATTTGACACAAGGTTATTAATTGGTAAGACAATATGAAATTACTTCAAACTATAAAAGTGAATTATTATTCATGATAGGAATATTAGTGTAATTAGACAGTTTTTCCTCAAGTTAATTAGACTAAAGAAGAAAGAAAATAACATGGGCCAGCCCACTAAGAGTCCAGTACAGTTGATCTATTTTGGTCTAAGACTGGGCTGAAGCCCCAAGGCCCAATTTGTAAAGAGCCCAAATTTCATCGCTCTATAGGCCCACCATTTTGGGTTAACAGCCCAAAGTCAAAGATGTCGGAAACTCGAAATGTACACAACAGTTGTCTTCTCCGTGAGAATCAAAGCTAATTTTACAGTAAAATTGGAGAAAATACTGACTGAGATTTTGCCCCCAAAAATCATGTCGAAATTGTGGGCGAGGTTTGCAGGTTTATTCAGCAGCAAGAATTTTGTAGGGATTGATAAAGTAGGCAATCGCTATTTTAAAAATATAGAGGAGCTTGATGGTGTCAGTAAGTGGGTTTCGTTTCTTTACTTTCAATTAATTCTAATTTGAATTTGTAGCTTAATTTATTGTTTGATCAAAAAATGGTGATGATTTTAGTGCATTTTTTTAAATATTGAACTTTCTTAGCTTTTGTTTTGGCTAATATTGCTAGTCAATAGTTATGATCATTTGGATTTTTGAAACTTGAGAACTTGAAGTGAAAGGATTGAGGTGATTTTGCCAAAAAGAAAAAAATAGGCAGCTCGATGCACAAAGCATTCTACATAGTGCAGTGGGCGGTCCTTGAAAATGGAACCTTAGATGTTGGGGTGCATATTGAATGCCTAGGACTGTTAAGCTTATCTTTTT